GCTAGGAGCTGGAACCAACTTCCAAGGGAAGTGGTGCTGGCCCCTACCCTGGGGGTCTTTAAGAAGAGGCTGGATGCCCACCTAGCTGGACTCGTTTGAGTCCCATTTCTCTTTTTGGGGTTTTTGTTGTTCTCCCGCCCTGGCGGGGGGTCGGGCTAGAAGATCTACTAGGTCCCTTCCGACCCTTAATCTATGAATCTATGAATCTATGAATCTATGAAAGTAGACTAGAGTACTCATGATTTACCTAAATTAGGTACATCAAGGCCCGACTGTCACGAATTCTAAGAGTCTGGAATTCTGTGGAGCAACTGCATTATTTTTCCCACTGGAGAGGCTTAAATTCCATGCCTTTTTAAATGAAAGTTTAACTAGTACTGGATGATCTTGTGAGTAAGGCACTGGACTGTGACTCAAGGGATAAGTGTTCTGTTTCTGACTCTACCATAGACTTGCACTATGGTCTTGGACAAGCTTTTGTACCAGTTCCCCCTTTCGTAGGATGAGGACGGCATTACTTCTTTTATCTTATCCTTCTTTATCTATCTTGTCTCTTTGGGATAGAGACTTACTAATTATAAGTATGCCACACAACATGATAAGGCCCTGATGTCAGAGCCTCTGGGCATTACTTTGATACAAGATACTATTGCTTCTAAGAAGAATAGAACTGTGGTGCTATGTTGACAGTATCTTCTCTTTCATTTTTGATTTACCATTGTTCTAAGATTGAAATTGCCTTTTGAGCATGAGAAAATGACCCTTGTAGGACAGAGTATTTTTCTGGCTTTGCTTAAAATCACTGCTCCTTTTGGGAGCATTTTTAGTGTGTTTTAAGATTTCTCAGTATAGCAGAGCAGCTATTCCTTGTGAGCTACTGGGGTTAAAATTGAGGGAAGTCAGTTTGAGTGATCAAGGTGCTTGTGATGCTTTTTCTGTTCATTGCTAGACGTTATATTTATATTCTGTCCCTTACATGTTGTGTTACCATCTCTGCCTCTCCCTTATATACATCCTGGAGCTCAAGGGAACACTTGAGCCCCTATAGATTGGAGCTTTACTTTTTTTGGCTGCTCTGCTAAAACTACAGCTCAGTCAGAGGGCTGGGGTTTTATATCACTTGCAAGGAAATGGTTTTACAGTCTTTTTGGATTTTATTTATGTTTTCTTCTTTAAATACCCTAAAAAATGACCTGTAGTAAATGCACAACAGTGCCTCATTTGTAGAGCAGCAGCTACTAGAAAGTTGGCTCAGACTTAGAAAAAAACAGCTTTCCTCATTCATTTCATGTTAGCACTGGAGTTCAAACAGCAATGAGCTAAAACAGACCATAGAGTGCTAAACTGGTGCAGCTGATGTACCTGGATCGGTAACAGTGAGCAGAGCTAATAACATCTGGGTTATATTGTTTTCTGTTCATATATCTACACCAGACACCCGTTATATATTAACAAACAAAGCCAATGAGGAAAAGGAGATACCTGTTTCAATATATGTATTTATAGAAATGAGCAAAGCTAATGACAACAAGGATATATACATCCATAGAAAGAGACAGTTTATATATTACCTTTTTTCATCCATTAATAAATGAAATAGAATATCATAAAAAAGTGTTTAAATGTACAAATTATGGTTTCTTTTATCTGGATACTATCCTTTTAAAATAATTTTATGCAACAGAATAGAGTGAAGACATTAATTTTATCTTGCTTATGCATCAGTAAACAGTTCGATATTCTGAGTCGTGCTACATGAGAAGAAGACAAGAGAGGAACATCATGGTCCCAGCTAGACTTAAGGACCACCGAAAACAAATTCATTTGTTACAACCAGCCTCTGATGGAAAGTAATTGAAAAGCCTTACATCATGACCTGAAGGTGACGAGGCTCAAATTCTGTCAGGTCAATGAAGGAAATGAATTTCAGAATCAAGAGCTTTCCACTGAGAGTTCCCTACTTGTAGTCTCTAGAAGTTTAAATGTAGGGCTGGTCAGTTAAAACATCCAGACTTGATAGTGTTGGCCATGAAAGTGAATTTGGTTCTTTCCCATATGTACAAGTGTTATGTGAAGTTGAAGTCCCTTTATTCTCAGTCAGACTTCCATAGATCAAGTATCATAAGACAAAGACAGTGTCTTGGAGCTTGGCCTACTTCCCAGGCAAATCAGTGCAAGATGCTGGACGTAAAACAGAATTGTGATTTTAAAGCAGGCATGAGTTACTCCAGTATTTAGGGACATTCAGAAATACTTAATTACAATGATAAGATAGAAGGTTTTTAGTCTTGGTTTTTGGCTAAGGTGAGAATTGGTAACGGGACTCAGTTTCAGGACTAATACAAGTTCCTGGGGCCGTTCCCCACAGGAATCAGATCCAGCCCCACTCAGACAGCTGGATGTTTTTAATTATTGTAGAAGAGGAAACTGATGCCTGCAACACATTGCAGCCCTAACAATCTGGGGAGGGAGGAATCTCTAGAAATATTAATGTACTGATCATCTGTGCGCCAGAATGGCCACCATTAAGATGAGAGGCTAATTCACGCTCCTTGCCAATTCAGTCCCTGCTCTGCATAAACAGTAATGGTTGCTAATTATTATTTTTTAAACTTCATGTATTTAACAATGATAGAGTCACTATTAACTAGGATCCATAAGACCACGATTCCTTCCACGCAATCAAATGTATGACTCTTAATAAGTCACTGCTGGCTCTTAGCTCAGCTAGAGTAAACCACTCACCTGGAGCAGAAATTCCGCTTATCATATCACCAGTTGCTTGAGACTGAGAGCTTTTAATAAGGATTTTGACTGACTAACTTCCACCAAAGAGAGCTAATTCTAGACAAGACCTCTCTTTAGCCATCCCCTGGCCATTCCCATGCTGGCTGGGGTCTTTTGCACAGCAGGGCTCTGTTGCAGCCTGACACGCTCTTGTCCACTGCATCTTTTCACAGGTGCTGCTACCATCACATCTCCCAAAACCATTCTCTGCCACCAGATGCATGAGAGGTTTCCTTGAACTTCACAAACCTTCAGTGTTTTATTGTCCATTGCAAGCACATTCTTAAGTGGGAGAAAACCTAGTTGGAGAAAACAGGGTAGGGAAGTCCCTTGCTGAACTTTCTCCTACTTAGAGTATTTATTAAATGGCTGAAGAGGACACAGCCAGATCTTTTTTCTTCAAATTTTGTTTTGGTGACAGGATCCCTGCTTATCCACTAGTCTGCATGAACAGGAGAGGAATCCTCTTTGCACAGCTTCAGCATCACTCCCAGCTCAGTTCCCTTTTCTAAAGGTTTTAGAGACTCTCTAGTGGCTTAGTCAGAGGCAGGAGGGGGTGGAGGGCAGAGGAGGCTACACATGAGAAAATGAGGAAGGGGGACAGGAATAGGAATAAGTGGAGGAGATGGATTAACAAAAGGGGTGGGAGGAAAGGAGAGGATACATGAGATGCTGAAAAAGGCAGAATGAGACCTATTGATGTAGAATAAATCCCAGGAGGAGACAGAGGAAAAAGAAAATCTTTGCTATAATTATAGGGACAGGCTCTAGAATAGGAGAGGGGTTAAATGTGGATTTTATTATGCTATGAGTGCAATTTACTATTACTGGTAGGTAAAAGAAACATATATATGTCTTCCCCCAAATGTTTGAATTCCCTCCCCCCGACTCTTTTAGCCCATTTGAAAGTTTGTTTGATGCCATCAGACAAAACTGACTTCAAAGTAAGAAGCTGCAGAAAGATGCTGTTGCAAGATAATCGATGCCTTACAGTATGCCAATTTTCTTATTTATTAAGAGTGACTGTGTGTATGATTTACAGATTTATCTCCAGATTCTGCTCTCAGTTGTAGCATTATATAGACAGAGAAAGCCTACTGACATTACTTCAGTTTGTATTGGCATAAATTAAATGGAATCTGGTTTGCTACATTCCTTCCAAAAGCTAAATTTAGAAGAAAATAGATGCAGGTTACACATTCTGGGACTATAAAATGGAGCATTTAAAATTATTTCCTGTCAGTGTAAATATATAGCTTAATCTTACAGTATCTTGGATCCCAGCTACTTTATGACTGGCATTTTTGTCTTGGGTTTTTTTTTTATCTTGGGCCCTGAAATTGGGGTCAATTTTGTGGTCCGAGTGTGGCACCAGTTGCCATTTTCATGGTGGAGCATGGCAGGGTGCCCCCACTCTGTATGCCTCTGATTGCACCCCTGAGGCATGAGGGGCCCTCCCACCCCTCCCTGGAGATATTCCCTGCTTGCTGGCCATTCGCATGCTTTTTTGTAGTACCTGCACTTTTTTGTGGGGGATCTAATGATTTTACAGTTTCTGTGAAAATTGCGATTTTGGTAGGTCCCTAGTTATACTCCTTGGCCCTACTCTGCTGATGTAGGCTAATAGAACACCATTCATATTTATGGAGGTGTGCTAATTTGTACTAACTATGAATCTTGTCTTTTGATCTTCTAGCTTCTTTGCAATCATTGAACTTTTCTTTTCAGGAATAATTCGTCTGAGGGATGGCTTTCATGATCGCTACCCAGTGGAGGATTACCTTGATTTATTTGACTTGGCAGCACACCAGATTCAGGGTGTGTTGCAGAGTGACTCAACAAAAGAGCATGCCAGGATGAACAAGATCATAATCGGTAAGGTAAAAACTGCTTAAGAAAGATGCTTATACCTAATTTGTTGCAACTTTTATAGGGATGGAAAGCCTACAGGAGAAGTTGACCTACTCTATAAATTGATGTGCTATTTCACCTTTCCACTGAAGACAAGTCACTGGATTTGTCAAAATGCCATGATTGTCTATGGCCAGAGCCTAGGAAAGCAGTAAATGTGGGGACAAGATTTAGCAAAATCTTTAGGTTGTGGGGGAAGGTAAGAAAGAGAGGGAGAGAGAGATACTCAGATGGCTTTACATAATGCAGTGAGACACAGTCTTGTCTGGATTAGGAATTACCCAAGCAGTCAGGGTAAACCAAAAGGCTACACCTGTAGGTGAATGGTGGGAAGTATACTGTTCAGAAGCCTATTGAACATGACTATAGTACAGTTTCTGAGACGAGCTCAAAGACAGCAAACTGAAGTGTTCAGCTGATGAAAGCTTGTACTATATTGGGTAGCTAGGTAGTAGATAGATAGGTAGATTCAACTGAATGATCAATCAGTTTACTTTGGTTGGTCTGTAAGGGGTAAATTTACCTTGCCTTTGACTTAGTTGGGGCTCAGGAATTGCAGTCTGAGGAGCATAGATTCCAGTATGTTTTGCTATTCAACAAAGTTGCTGTCATAGTGTATAAACTATGCCTAGTGCAAAACATGCCTATACTCACATATAACAGACATTGTCACCTACTTTCTGGGCCACATATTTCCCTTTACTGGAATGTGGGTATGATAAATGTCCTGTAGCTGGCTGGGGAGAATTGCCATGACACAAGCCAATGGGGACAACCTTTTTGGCAGGTGTGCCACAAATTCACCCTGCACCCTCTCTGAGTGCTGCTCTGATCCCTGTCCCTTACCTGTTTTGCTGCTGTTCTTTCTAGTCCCTGCCTTGTGCTCCCTGCCCCATCTGACACTCTGCTTTTCACTCCTCACTCTATTTGTCAGTGTAATGCCTGTATGCCATACACAATAGCTGCATACGCCACTTCTGGCACCTGTGCTGCAGGTTGACTACCCCTGACAAGTAGAGTGCAAGACTGTCATTAGCAACCCTGCTCTCAGACTCCAAGAAAAGAGGCATACCACCATCTGTAAGCAGGTCAAGTTGGGCTGCCCACAAATTGGATGCCGTGACATGCGTTACTTATACCCAGGGCTGTTTTAGTCCCAAAACAGCCTAGAATCAGGATGGCCCAAAAGTGACTGAAACCTGTTTATTAGGCCTGATTCTTCCAAGATAGCTAGTTTTGAGCTGCA